TAGTAATACTAATAAAGTGTTAATGCAAAAAAAAATTAAGGAACAATTTGTATGTTCAACACAGGTGCTGTCCTCGATATCAAAGGTGATGAAGGAGTGCTGGTACCAGAACCCAGCTGCCCGTCTCACCGCACTTCGCATCAAGAAGACGCTTGCCAACATCTGCACGCCCGACTACATCAAGTTGTAAGTGCGAAGCGTACACAAAGTACTCGCCTTATTTCATTGAGCTCATTCATGTTCAATTTGCCATCAAATCGATCAAGATGTCGATTTGAACACCATTTAACGATTATCGCTTGTGGAATCGATTGCTGTTCACTCTCATTCTTGTAATCGACTACGTGCCGTTTTCACTTCATGCTTCAAGGAAGACGAACAACAGGTGTGCGGTAACTGTTTAACGTATAAACATTTCTCTGAATGTGTTCTTGCCGTGTGATCCGTTTGTCTTTTGCTGCAATCGATTAAACATATTGTGTAATGTTTAGGGATGTCGAGCTGGATGAAATAAGGGTTTGATACTTGGACTTTGCATCGTTACTGAATGGACTAGATTTTCAAGCTACGAGCATGACTCCTGATCCCTACCTCTTAGAATATATTTGTGTGAAATCTTGAAGGAGCATTTATTTAATACTATCATATGGATTTGAAGTTGTAGTGATATTTTTTCGTTACCAACTACGTAAGTTTAACTTTTGTTACGTGTTCCGATTCGTTTATTGTGCATAATAAAATAGAGCCGTACTTTTATTTTTGTAAACTATGTTTTCTGTGATATGAAATTAAATCGCAGCTATTGTTATAAGTTTTATTTGTGTTTGTTCATTAATATAATCGTAGCTCTAAGTGCGACTGCCGCCACCGCGTTGGACTTTGTATATTTAAACGCAGTTTTGATGTAATTTAATGATTTCTTTCTTCCACATAGACACTGTACGAAGCCTATGTAACATTGTAAGCTCGTTGTATGAAACCGTGGTTAGCCAACAGCAGATATCGTGGGACGGTACATGCAAGGCCGTAGCTAAGAGGTTCCGAGACTTCCGAACCTGGTGAGACAAGCGCTCTCCCGACTGACTCGACTACTCTTCCGTTAATTATAACTATCCCATTACAATATTTACAATTTAACGAACAAAGACTAATGCATACAAACAGTGATTTAATTGTGGTTGTGAATTGCAAATCTATTTCTATTAACAAAATTAAAATGTACTTAATTATAAAATAATTTCAAGTTAACAACAATGACAATATTAATTATTTATCTGGCTACGGCCTTGGAAACACGTCTTCCTAAAACGAGCACTTCGCTAAGTTAAGTTAAGATTATGAGCATATGCCAGGTTTAAGTTCTGTTCAGAAAGAGCGCATCGGCACATTTGTATGTAACGTTATATTGCGTTAGGTTTATGGATATACTTAAGTGATTTCTAGTGTCGTGGACGCGAGGTTAGACTTAGTCACTTTGGTGAGTTTTAACATAATTTTGATACATCAGTAAAGCACCTATTTTCTTACTTATTCCGAAATTGGAATCCTTGGCGTTAAGATATTTCGAGTTTGTATATAATGAACCGTGTTTACACACTATTACGACCTACTGTATGCGTAAGGACTTTGATAAGTAAGCACGTAGATTTCATACTTTTGTGTATTGTTACATGTAGACTAACTATTTTATTTATTGTCTTTTATTTAGGATGATCTATCGCCAGTGAACGCTTGCGACATTGTACTTCTAATTTTACGTACAAATACATATTTGTTGTTTATAAAAAGAAAATTATCTTTGGTAAAATATTCATGAGCGCATATTAAGGTTAAGTTGTTGAGCATTTGATATAATAATATATATTCGAGTAAGAAAGTGTAACAGTTAACTAAATTCGTCGACAAGTAAAACTTAGAGACTGAATCTAGCTCCAGTAAATTTTAGACCTCATTGCCTTTTGGTGACCTCATCTTGTGGTGATTCGGTGTTTATACAAGTGCTTCGAATTTGTTTTCATGTCGTCCGACTTATATAAACACGATTGTATGGCGATTGGCGTCGGCCAAAATCAAGTATGTGTCTAAAATAAATTCAAGTCATGGGCGTAAAGAGGCCCTTGATAATAACATTTTAAAGTTGGATCAAAATATTTTTTTAAATGTTTAGATTTTATCGCTGTAGCAGCGTAGTGTATGTAGTGTTGTCATTAACAAATGCGCGTGTGCACCGCCTGCGACGCAACGACTTGCAGCAGCAGCGACTATAAACGTAATTATAGTACAATATAGCAGTCTGTCCGTCTGCCGCACCTCGGGACTCGGGTTTGTTAAATTCCATATTTTAGTCTATGTTAGAAGTCGCGTTACTTGCTTCGACGCTCCAGGAGCCTAGGTAATATTCCATTGTCATTGATAGTTCTCTAGTTGAGATGGTTGTTTCATATAAATATAACATTTACGTGTGTTGCCCTTCCCTTTCAAACTTTAATAGCCAAACATTTGCCTCCCTATCTTAATGTTAATGCGCTTAAACGCATGTGAGTACTAGGACCCGTTATTCAGTGAATCTGAAAGTAAATGTTAATAAATACTAAATGTAGATTTTGTACTCCTTAGTCTGACTCAAAAAGTAGTAGCGTGTTAAATATTACCTTATTCAACGTATTTAAGGAATATTGTGTGTTTATTGAAGTAATGTAGACTTCCGACGATTAGTGTGTCGCTCGAGCTATTGTTAAATTAAGAAAATTATCCTCAATTCTATTATGTACTTTGATGTCACAAACACGGATGAATATTATTTTTAAGAAGCATATAATATTTGCCTTTTACAATCTTGAAGCAATAATATTACCTACTGTTTTATCAGGTTTATTAAATATTTATTAAAAAGTTTATATAAACATCTGTATTGTCTGTTTGAAAGTATAAAGTGTTATAGATTGGTCGCGTATCGCATGTGTACAACTTGTGACCTGTGCGTACTGTCCGTACGTAGTGCACGCAGCGAGCGCCGCGCGCCGCAGCCTCGTCACATGCGACAGTCGGCGCGCAATTGTTTTGTGATATTGTCAATTGTACAACTTGAGTAGCAGAACGCAGATTAAATATCGTGTTGTTTTAGTGTTAACATTTTAATACTCTGTAAAACGTCTAGATTCCATCGAAAAAGCAATTTTTATACAATATACCATTTTAATTACATTATGATTAATATAGCATTTGTAACTCTGTATTAAGGTTTAAAGATCCTATTATCATGTGTTTGTAATTTTTCAAAGATAGTCTATTGTTTGGTATAAATAATATAAATGAAATAAAAATATTGTTAGTTTGTAAGTGTTATGTTATGTAACTGAAACACTCCATACGTTCTACGGATAACGTGAAACTGAAAGCAATAGCCAATCTACAATTTCTATACGACGGTTTTAGTGAAAATGTCAAATGACGACTCATGTAAGTGAAAGTTAGCATGCAAGCAAAAGAGCAAAGTACTCTTTAGTCTCAAAGTATTTGGTAACGAGAAGGAGAATGTGAAGTTTGGCAGCGCGAGATAGAGCCTGTGGCATCGGATGCACGGACACAAGATCTCATTGTTTTAAAAAAGATGTTCAATCGGCATAGTATATTGATGTTAGTAGGTAGGTATGTAAGGTATTTTTACGTTGAGATTATATAAGGTGATAAGAAAGTATATTTTACCAGCTTTAATGCTATTCTCGCTGATTTGAATATATAAATCCACTTGGTAGGATTTGCCATTGTCATCCTTGTTACTAAATACTTAGAGCCCTTGAAACATCTCGTGTTATTAAAATGTATGTCATTCGTGTAATACGTATCTTTAAGGATATGAGAATATTTTAGAATTTCTAGATTTAGGACGTCAAGTTCAAATTATTGTCATAAAATGAGAAATGTACAAGCATCAAACTATTTGTTTGAAATTATTTGATGAGCAATACCAAGAGAGTACAAGTAATGTTTTACTGAAGTGCAATAACTAAACATGGACAAATGCAGCATCATATCACATGAGCATACTAATTGGATGGTTTATATTCCAATATTAATGATTTTATGTAAATATAATTATTTAATTATCCCACTGCGTAAGTTTTATTCTTTGGTTATGGAGTGGACTAATTAATTTAAAATATTATAATAAATAAAACCAGTGTTTTATATTGAATTTTGTTTTTTTTTCGAACTACCAGCACCTAGTAGATACAGCCGTGCTATGTATATTGTGTAGAGAAGAACTGTTATAGTTGTTACATTTACTTATTGACTGATCATTATCCTATACCTACAAATGCCTAGAATTAAAATATAATATAACATGTCCCATATATAGTAAAATGTATGTACTAACATAACATAACATCACGCCTTTTATCCCCGAAGGGGTAGGTAGAGATGCATACAGAAGTAACACCCACTTTTCACTATTTATGTTATGAGTCCCATGTAATAGGGGGTGAGCCTATTGCCATATACCGGGCGCAACTCCAGACTCCGTGCTACTACTAAATTTTTTTTATAAACCCAGTAATACTATGCCCGACCCGGGTATCGAACCCGAGACCCTTTGCCCGGCAGTCACACTTGCGGCCACTCGGCCAACGAGGTAGGCCAGTAAATTGTATGTACTACTACTACGATTACTGCCCAGTAGTGCTGATGCCTGACCAGTAGACGTTGAGTACTTAATGGTTTTTTTTTATTATATTACATTTCTTTTATTCCACGGACTCTTGTCCGTGCCCTTGTCATTCAATTACATTTTCTTTTATTTTACAGTCAAAATTAATTGTTACAAAAGTCTTACGTGCTACATTAACCACATTTTTTTTTTCACAAAGAAGGTTGTGTCTACTATCTATATATACAAAATACATGTTTTATTACATGGATCGGCCCAACCAAGCGATGAGCGGGCCGACCTGCTTCAGCAGAAGGCACCCGTTCACGAGCACGACGTGGTGGCCAGCAATCGGTCCGATCAACCATTTCGTAGGTAACGGAGCGACCCAGCCCACAGCGCCACCGACTGTAGAACATTTAAGAATGCATGACGTCTCTGCTCACGCGGCAGTAAGCCGATTCCAGTAGTGCCAATGGATTTTGTCAGTCTTATTGATTAAATTACATTACGTTACATTATATTTAATGACATTATAATATTATTAAACACACAAATATATAAATATATATAAATTAATGTCACGCTTGCATCACAATTCACGCTTACAGCGAGCCCTCCCCACCCAAAAGAGTGCCCACTACCGCCATGTCCCTATTCCTGATAGCAATTTTCAAGTTATAGTCCAGGATCCCCTGCTCACTCTCACCCACCGCCCGTCTGATTAATTTGCTGATCGCGTCCTCACTGTACTGTACTGTACTCAATGGGTTACCGGGGTTCCGGTTCCAAGCAGGAGAAAAAACAAGGCGGTTTTTAGTTAGTAAGAGACAGACACTCCCTTTCGCCTCACCCAAGACGGAAGGAGTTATTGAATGATTGTCGGCCAAAATAGCGTCTGAAGTCCTCATCAGCCTAGGTTAAATACTCTAAATCCTTACACAACTAAATGATTTCCTGAAGGTTACTTGGGAGCCTTCATTGCTCGAGTGAATAGGTTGCTTATGGGACGACGTGCTCCATCGTAGACCGCATCATCGCTTACCACCAGACGAGATAGTGGTCAAACGTCAGCCCATCAAATATAAAAAAACCTGGTTTTTTATGTCGGTGTTTGAGGGGAGAACAAAATAAATCAGTTGAGTTCGAACGTATCATGTGAGTGAGGTATATTTCAAAATAATTATGTAATCTGTGGTACATTTGTGACAGACATTTTTATTGTTTTAGCTGGCAATAATAATAATTAAGTGTCAGTTTATGTCACCGATATATCATGGCAAAAACTTTAAATTATTAATATAATTGGTTTTTCTGCTTTCGGTACTCGTCTCTTGCACGAGTGTGTATGCACAAAGTGCATATCTACTTACCTATTCGGGGAATAAAATTCGTGGACGTTAAATCTGATGTTATTGTTATTTTGATATGAATCTATTTTCTATTTATATATTCTATTAATATATTATATTCTGTTTTTGACACATTCTATTTTCTTATGCAAGAAATGACAAATTATTCGCGAGTTTAGCAAACAAACAGCCTTAATTAGATATTCTTTAGCGAATCCTACAAACCTTGGTGGTAGTATTTATTTATGCAGTCTCAGTACTAATTTTCGTATATCTTTCACATGTACAAAATATAATAATATAAATACAATTTGAGACTGAAATAGATTCGTCATAGATACAAGTGTAAAACTTGGTTGAAAGTTTACGAAAACTATTAAAAGTCTATCCTAGCCTTAACCGCCAAAACGTATTTTTTAAAGTAGCAACACTGTGACATATTGCGCGTTGAGCGCTAAGCGCTAATGCGAATTAATAGTTTTGATTTCGCTGTCTACTCTACTGGTGGTTTTATCACTTCTATCTACATTTTTGTAAATTGTTATTTAAAGTTAAATTTTCGTTGCGCTTTGTTTTTGGTGAACAGTGATTTTAAATATAATTATTTAGTGGTAGGACCTCCCTCCAAGCGTTTCTGACACATTTTACAGACGCCATGTTTGTCACGTTTTTGCCAGTTGTGAATATATTTAGCCAAAAATTGTATTTGCAGTAGCGTTACTTCGTATAATTGTTGAATAGTGCCCTGTATCAGTTCCACGATGAGTCAAAAAACACCCAGAAATAAGGAAAAGCGATCGCGATCAGCTTCTAATGAGACTAACAATGTAAGTAATAACCAAATTCCCGCTCTTGGCGACAATGTCGTTGCGTTTTTCAAGAAATGTGTGGCCTCACGCGTAGTTGATGTGTATTTATACACTTACTTGGCGAGTGACTTTAAAATAATATGCTAGAATAGTTTTAAATCGAGTTTTTTTAATACATTTAGCAACTTACGCTTTTGCGAAGGCCCAGGCTTGTCAAAGTCCATGCTTTATTGAATAATTTGTTTTCCATATACCTATTACCAAAGATAACAATTCATTAAAAATCGTATTGTATTTGTAAGAATTAAGCATGTATGATTTCGTTACCTACATGTATTGTATGACTTAAAATTTTGTGCATTGAGCTACTATTGAGATATTGATCTAGACTGCACATCTATAAGTTATGTTACCAAATCTAGGTACCTAAGTAAGTAACTACATAGGTTACAGACTCTATGTTGGTTATTAATGCTCCACAATTCCCAAGTACATTTGGACTGAAGTCCAAAGTTTTTATGAAACAAATGCAATGTTTGATTTTTACTATTAATCAACTAAAGGAATCTTGTGATTCATTTGTTGTTTCACAATATTGCACATTGATTTAATGACAAGTTGATACATGTATTATCAATGCTTTGTGTCCATGTTGTGTGGTAATTTCATAGTGTAAATGCATTAGTAGCCAGTGCAGTTAGGACTTTACTTTATTGCAACTTGTTGCTTAGAGACACAATGTACAAATTTATAGGTTGGCTGGTGGTCATGAGTACTGTCAATAATGATTTAATAATTGGAACAAAATACAATTTCATTTATGTTCAATGTTAAACTAGTCAAGACTTATTCATAAATATATATTTATGCTTCTTAACAATCCTTGTTTATATCACTAAGATAAGATTATGGTCAAGGCTGTCAACGCATATTGTGAGAAGCCAAATAAGTGATTGTTAATGTGTTGATTTACTGATTAAAAGTCAATAATTTCACTAATTTATCCACATAATTTTAAAAGCCCTAATGGTCTAGACTAACCATGACACCCTTAAAAAAAAAAAAAAGGTATCCTCTGCAAAGAATGTGCGATAATCTATACACTTAGTAGGCAGTCTTAAAAGTTCAGGTTTGTCGCAGAGTGCTGCTGCTCAGTATTTGTCAAACATATAGCTATGCCTTACCAGCCCCACCTGCAGGAAGAGTATGAGTGGTGAAAAATGTTATTATAATTTCTGTAGAGCCGTCACTAAATTATTTAGATGATGTTGTAAATAATTTTCAGTTCAGCCATAAGATCAGTGTTGAATTGGACTTAAACGTTTGTACACCGCTTCACATGTACCTATAGCTATTGCGTTTATGTTGCATTCAGTGCATTAAACTATGAATCTTCTGTTTAGTTAAAGATAATGATAATTAATACTTACAGTTATGTTATTGGGTTTTTAACATTTTGAAGGAATTGAATCTTTCTAGATTTGGGCTACAAATTCACAATTAGTTTGAATGTTCATGGTTGCTGAGCAAAGATATAGTAAAGAACATTTAATATGTTAAAAAGAAGTAAACAATCCAGCAATCCATCCTGATAATTAGGGATTCGTTAATTAGTTAATTCTTGTTTTCTACCGCAGCTCTGCCCCAATTGTCTTTTTTAAAAGCTAAGCTTTTAAATAGCCATATATCATATTTTAGCGAACTTTAATGAATTTTTAGTCTGTGCGATTTTATTGCAAGTGCATATGTGATATTTGTCCATTATTTGCGAAATTAGGACAACAACCAATAAGTCATTATGCTTATCTCTGTCATCCTGAAAACGAATATAAATTAAATATGTTATTTCAACAACTTAGATTTTCTCTTATATTCTGTTTTAAATAAGGGTCACACAACATAATGTTGTTTGTGAGTACTAATAATCTTTATCTTTTTTAACAAAGTTTTATTTTTGTATTGTTTTCAGTCATTTGTCAAGAATGTGACATCCAGAGTATCAGGCTTACTGCCCAGTACCATCACAAAGTGGTTCAGTAGCCCCCGTTCTTCAAATGCAAATGGTTCGACACCAGTTGCTGACGCTTCTGATTCTTCAGATGATGAAGTAGTGGACATCCCGGAAGTAACTCAACAACCACCTGCCAAACGCATGCGGTTTAACCCTCCTGGAACTTACAATCATTACAGCCCTGCTGATGTAAGTTATTTTTATATACTTCAAACTAATTACTCAACAATACCAATTCATCAATTATGAAATTTTAGAAAAAGTACATATTATATTTTGCATATGTTCTCTAGTAAACAATATCTAACATATACATTTCAATGTATGTTACAGGCAAGCTGTTCCAGAAATGATATGGAAATAATAGAACTTCCATACAGTCCCTTCACGGGCACTCAGTGTACTCAACCTACCCGTAACACATACAGTACAGCACTGCGGCCACCAAATGAAGACCATCAGGATACAATGGAAAGAGACATGTCACGAGTATACAAGGTCTCTCACTCAATATCTAGTACTGGCCAATCAATTGCCCCTAAAAGAAAATCTATTTTCGAAACAACTACTCAGGAGGAAGTAATGAAAATAACTGGTAAGTTATTTTATTGTGAGTTTATGAGCTTGATTTCATGAAACTAACAAATGTAACAAAAATATATTATACATATTGATATTTGTTACTAATAATGAACTAAAAACCATATACTTGTTAGTTATAACTTGTATATTATACTATACTTGTATATTAACAAAAATATAACAAATATTCAATGAAACACTGATTACACACAGATTTAATGAATTATTAGTTTGAAAGTTAGCATGCAAGGTGAATTGTCAAATATTTTAACCCAATATTTGTTTGCACTGTTTTGTTGGAACTATTTTGAGTATACAACTAATTTACTTACTTAAGTTAAAGATAGATGATCTGTTTGCGTTCTACAAGAATTACTTAATACATATGTTTACATGACAAACTACAAACTTAGTTTAGTATTGAATATTAACATGTATGTCTTCTAAACTGCTTTGTATAATTACAGCACACAGCAAAGTGTATAGTAGCATATTATTATTATTATTTATTTTTTTATCTATTTTTTTAAATCAGACAGGCAGTTGGTACACTAACTAATATATGCCTGTATGGTATTTTTCTATAAGTATTTTGTAGGATTAGGTAAATATGTAGCATGCAATTTATGATGACAGTAGTGTTTGATCCCATAATTCTGTTAATTTATCCAATTCATAATAAAATCATGTTTAATGTAACTAATGCTTAATCTATACTAATGTTACTGTTATTAGCAATAAACTTCAACAAAATATTAATGTTTTGACATGCAACTTTTAGCAAAAGCATCAAATACATTTCGTGACCCAAAGCAGCCCAGCTTTAAACCTAGTCTGCTTGGTTCTCCATTTTACCCTGGGAGAACAATGTATGGAGGAGCAGCATCTTCGTACATAAACCAGCCGAACATAAAACAAGAGACTGTGGCAGTAGTAAATGAGTCTCCAATCAATGATGACACCGCCATCAGCAGCTCTGCGCGACGTATTATGGACTTATTAGAAGGTTATTCCTCTCCACTTATGGAAGCCCGCAGGATCCCTCTGTACACCAAACCCAAAAATGATGGATTTAACATCAGCAACACTTCCTCTTCATCTACAAATAATCATTTAGGTAAGTTTAAAAGAAATTTCATAATAATTGACTTCCTCTTTTTGTATTTTTTCTTCATTTCAGTCAAACTTATTTAGTGTAGGTCAAGGGTACTGCATAAAATGAGAGCTTTTCTTTGCCTTAAATATTGATTTTAAATAGGTACTTTTACTCTGTGGAAATAAAAATTCTTCTTTCAGATAGTATAGTGCCATCTTTTTTGATTTTTCATTACTCCTAGGTATTGTGCTCTAGCCAGATGCATCTTCTATTTCGTCTTTTTCGTTTTCATTTGTCTAATGGTAACCTTTTGGTGTAACGGTGGTATAGTCTTACAACCATGACTCGCTTATATACTGCGGTGCAAAATGCAGTATATTAATCAGTACCAGATTTATCCAATTGCTGGTGCAATATGCTATTACTTGATTGTCAGAGTTCTCTGACACTGTAACTTGGTTGTCATTTGAGATCCACATGGATTCCAGTCTGAGTAAAACCTCTTTTAATATGGAAATAAAAATTGTGAGTACAGTTGGTCACCTATTTGCTGCTACTTGTGAGTTAGTGTATAATTATTTGTGCATTTTTCTTAGATGTTCTTTACAACTTCAATATACTCTCTGTGTGTGCAATTGTGCCAAATGCTTCTTGGTAGTCCATAATGGCCAAATAAGAATATGTTCCTGATAGTTCTCTATCAGTTTCTTAATAATAACATGAATACATTTGGTTGAATTTAGAGAATCTTGTGTGAAACCCTGCTTGTTCAACCGGTTGGTGCTTTTGAATGGTAGTGCTTATTCGTTTTTCAGTAATTGGTTGAAATAATTTGTAAAGGCTTTGACAGTAGATTAATAGGCATGTACTTTGTGATGATTTTTGAGTTTCTCTTTCTATATTATACCAGTGTACCGTCGCTTTGCCATTGTGTTTTAAGGAGCATCTCCTGACACAAACAAATTAAAAAAAATAATAATGAAAAAATAAATTGATTCAAGATGTCTCGGCAGTATCAATAGTATCAATATGATTAATTAGAAACGACAGTGGGTAGCATAGTACTGAATTGACGTTTGAATATCACGTGTGTTTAGGTTTTTGATGCGAGTCAGTGTCTCTATTTTTTTATGTACAGGTATTTTGGTAGTAGTACTGTTGTCAGTGTTTTCCTCCGTCGCTTCATGTGCTTCGCTCAAAGGTGCCGGCAGCATGTCAAAGTTTTTATAAGCGTTTCTGTTAGATTATCTTCCCTAGGTTCTGAACTATCTATTTAAGTCTAAGTGTGATTTTTTCGAGCTTTCTGCCCGTTAACTTTTAAATGTATAACCTTTGGATAACCTCCTTAATGCCAGTTTTAATAATAATTAATAATTTATCTATTATTTTAGCATATCGGACTCGAGAGCTCCATGTACCAAGCATTGCATCTATACTGTGCCTGAAGAAAAAGTCTCGTCTCATGGACACGACGAATATTGCTCGACAATTAATGGCTTCTCAAAGCAGTACTTCTAATGAATTTCCAGCTTATCCTAGGCAGGAAACGAAAGGGTAATGTATTAAAGTCCTGACTAACATCCACACAGAGTGGACCAGTACTAATATATAATTATTGTTGAAATCTACAAAAACAGCAACTACTAGATACATATTATCGTTATTATACAGGTGGATACATAATATCTGGTAGATTTATATCTCCATACAAAATAGACATTGGTCTTTTTTGATCGTAATAAAATGAAATTGGAATATACGACTACACAGCCCATAGACACATAATCAGTGATTTGTTTCAACAATTAAAATTTGTCATTTACTGAGGTAGGACAGAGCGGGGTACTATGTACTACCATCTAGTTGGCCATCTCAATGACATTTCGTTTCACTAGGAGTGTGTAATTTAAGTGTGTTTATTCCTACATTTTTCGATTATTTTGTGGGTTCTGTTTCTAAATTTATTATATTCTAGTAGTAAAATTTTGTTTCTTGGATCACTTTTCCATTTTATGAACAATTGATATTTTTTACACACGTTTCTTTTACTTACTATGATTTTTAATTATTTTCGTGTATTTGATTCCTCGTAACATTTTTCAAATTGATTATTTATGCGAAATTGCTATTATATAATGCTAAATTGATAATTAGCTATCAGACATTCTGGTATCTAATTCGCTCCGAGACGGGAAAACGAGATGGCTGACGTTACCATACCAAAGTATAATGCAGGGATCCGATATGATATGTTTATTGCCAATTTACAGCCTACAAACGTGGTGGACACTAAGTTGACAAAAAAAGTCAATATATCATTTATTTATATAAGGTCTAACAAAAATAGTGCACAATATTTTAACAGGTGATATAGTACATGATAAGGAATATGTTTACCTAAAAAAAAAAATTGTAAACAACAACATGTTTAATTAAATTAGCATTACATTTGCAAAATTGTTGTTGTGTTTTTACGCATAACGCCAGCCGTATGGATGCGCGCGGACGTTTATCTTGCGGGTTAACGACCGAGGTTTTCGAATAGGTACATATTGCAGGATGGCATAAAAAGCAATGAAAATAATAAATGAATAATTGAATTATTAAAAATAATTGATAAGTTTTTATAAAATATTTTCATAAAAAAATGATGTTTATCACATACTAATTGACCTACTAAAATATTGTGCACTATTTTTGTTACACCTTATATTAGACCAGGAAGGCACTTTTGAATGTTAAAACTTTAGACTTCCAAGATTTTTGACAGAAATCTGTCGACTGTTATTAAGGTTTATGGGCTGTGTGGTCGTTACAATGAAGGGAACTGTCTGGCCATGCCACAATTGCATTGTATTTTACATCTTGATTGATTTTGATTGTTCAAGTATTGTGCATTTGATGCCATCATGCGCTTTTATTAATTGTTACTACTTTGATACCCTGCATATCAATAGAGTTGATCTAAGTACCAAATTATGGTCATGATTGTTTCAAAATTTACACAAAGAAAAACTAATATTCTTTGTGTAAATTTTTAAAACAGCAATAATCTGCTTAGATATTTTTTTCATTAACTTAATAAATGTTTTTACTTTTAGGAGTGAGGTCGAGAAGGAACCGCCTCATAAATTTTCTACCAAAATGAAATCAAGAATAACTAGAACTAACCGAGGGCAGCAAGACGAGATCGACATGTCCACTCCCGTGAAACTGCCCACAGCCACATTACAATTAGACAAAGATAAACTGCCCCAATTTACATTCGACGCACCGTCGCTCACTACATCTACACCTAAAATTGTTTTCCCTACAGCTGATAAAAAAGCTACCCACATTCCCACAAGTAAGCACGAAACTGTAATTAGTAGTGTCTACACATTTTCCAATCCTGTTAAAGTATCAAGTAACGACATACAAGTGGAATCTTCATCTTTAAAATTCAAATTCGACTCTCCTGAGCGACGTATAGATCAGAAATTTGAAAACAAACATGACGAATCTTCTGTTGTTGTAGGTGTGATAAAAGCAAACGAATCTGTCTTAACCAAACCGAAAGACTGGCAGTGTTCAGACTGCTGGGTTAAAAACAAGCCGGACGCCATCAAATGTGTTTGTTGTGGAGCTAAACAGCCAAAAAAGAATACTAAGTGCTTGGTTTGTAAACTTGCCGATAGTCAGTCACAAAAAGACAAATGCGCTAATTGTGAGAAGATGTCTACCTCACAAGTCGGAAAGTCACCCGGTAACCCACAACTAATTGGGACCAGTTCGTCGACGACATCGAAATCTCTGTTCAATAAAGTCAGCGATACCAACTCCCCTCATGGAACGAAGTTTACTCTACCTACCTTCACTGCAGTTACTGAGACACCAATCAATATCTTTTCAAAGCCTGAAACAGTGACAAGTCCATTGAAAGCAGTACAAAACACTGCTAAAGCGGATGCTGATTGGAAATGTGACGATTGTTGGATTACAAACAAAAGCAGCGTCGACAAATGCGCAGCTTGCGGCGGTGCCCGACCCGGAGCCAAACAGGCGGCTAATATTACAGACGCTATGAGTAATAAAACTACAACATTTGGAACTAGTGACAAATTTAAAGCCATTGCTAAGGCCCAACATTCAGACAAATGGGAATGTTCCAGCTGTTTGGTCCATAACGAAAGTGACAAAAAGGAATGTGTATGCTGTGGTGCGGTAAAAGAAGGTATAAAGAAAATGCCTGAATCAACGTTTAATTTTGGAACAACTACGAATAATACGTTTAAATTCGGCATTGATCCCAAAGTGCAAAGCTCTACCATTGCTGACAAACCTGAAGTTCCATCAATATTAGACACGAAATTAAAACCACAGTCAGAAACAAATAATAATGTTGTGGCTGAAACTCCAACATTTACATTTACACTGCCCACTAAAAAATTAGAAAATAAAATTGACACTCCAAAGGAAAAGACAGGTGAGGCTCCAAAAATGAATTTCACATTTGGTATTCCGAAAACGATACCAACAAGTTCAGCGGTTACAGCGAAATTGCCAGAGACAAACAAAACTTCCGAGGAAGAGAAACTTCAAGAAGTTCCATCAGTTGACTTGAATGCACCCATCCAGAGTAAACCACAGATGCCTGTACTGACTCAGGTAAATAACGAAAATAAGTCGTTACTACCTACTACGAGTTTATTTAATCCATTGGCTAACGACACAAAGAAGGAAACATCACTTAATACTGCTGTCGCATTGCCAGAAGCGGCTGATACTCAGAAACCAAAACCAGCATTTTCATTCGGTTTGTCATCCAATACAAAACTATTTGAACCTCCAGCAACTACGGGTACAACAATGATTTTGTTCATGCAGCCGTCGCAAAGTACGACTCTACCAACAACTAGTGCACCCACGTTGTCAATGTTTAAACCGGCTGAACCTAGCGCCACTGCGACATCGTCATCATTATTTCAACAGCCTGATTTAAACAAACCTGCTGCATCTCTATTCCAAAACAAAGAGGCTACTAATATTGCTACACCAGCACTAACGCAGGCATTAGCACCGACACCGGCACTGGCTCCGGCTCCGACTCCGTCACCGGCTCCGTCACCGGCACCGGCACCAACACCAACAGCGGCACCGGCACAGCCACCGACATCGGTACTGACAGCAGGACTGGCACCAGCGCCAGCGCTGACGCCAGCAGCAGCGCCGACACCAGCAGCAGCGCCAGCAGCAGCGCCAGTAGCGCCAGCAGTAGCAGCACCAATTTTCAGTTTTGGCAGTAATGCAGCTAGTAATTCTTCGGCTTCAGCGTCACTCACGCTACCTACTGCCACAGAAAAACCTAAATTTCAATTTACATTTGGTAATAACGCAACGCCTGCAAGTAACCCACCTCCAGCGTTTAAGTCTCCGTTCGGTGCGGCTGAAAGTACCGTTAATACGAATACTTTTAATTTGTCTGCTGGATCTTCGTTGGGTTCTACCAATAACCTTGCTACTAATAGCTTTGGAGGCAGCAACGGTTTGAATGCCCCTAATGGTCTTACGGGAAATCCTATGATGGGAAATACACTTTCTGCTATGCCTGGAAATTCTCTTCAAACGAATAGTTTAGCAATGGGCACCGCCAATACATTAGGTGGTAACAGCAATGGCTTATCTACAAGTCAACAACCAGCTAGTATGCAGGCGGGAAACTCTTTAACCGGAGGTGCAACGGTCTTATTCAATAACACCGCGCCGAAAGAAAACATGTGGGCGGCGGGTAACAATACCTCGACCCCGAACCTGTTCGTGTCCAACACAACGACCAGTAGCTTACAGAAGCCAGCGGCATTCACGTTCGGATCATCAACACCGTTCAATGCCAGTAATAACGCATCGCCGGCTTTCGGTGCTGCCGCGGCACCTCCGCAAAATATTTTCGGTATGAATAACCAGAGTAACAACGCGCAGCCAAATCTCTTCTCGAATTCTGTTCAAAGCCCGCCATCAGGAAATTTGTTCGGCTCGCCGCAGCCCGCCAGTAATCCTACACCACAGATTCCCATGTTCGGTTCACCAAGCATGGGTGCAACTCCAACCTTTGGCTCGCCCAATCCGTCTATTCCTTCATTCGAGGCCCCGTCGCTGAATCCAGCACCAGCACCTGCGTTCACCTTTGGTTCTTCACAAGCGCCTGCGACAGGAATTTTCGGATTCGGACAACAGGTAATTATTGATTTTGTTTTTTAGACTTACTTAATTTTTCTAGATACAATATATTATGAAATTGAATATTCGTGGAAAAAAGTACATACACATCATTAAACTTCATATTACCAATATGGGCTATAAACAACTGGAATACAATATATTCAGAAGCAAAAAATTGAATTTGTAACCAGTAATTACCTTAAACAATTTTTTTTATTTATAATTGTGCTACATTTCAACTGTTATTTTTTCTTCCTCTTATGGTGTCATTTCATGTCTGAAGGTTGGCCGTCAGCTTTTTGAATTGGTCTCATTCGCCAGGCGGAAAAGTTGTTTCACAAAGCTGATTCGGAGCCGGTCCACTCCCGGATATTTCGCACACACGACTTATCCTTCGCTTCTCTTCCCATCCACCTTTTCATCATTATAAGATGAAGCAGCATGTATCTGTCATGTCTCAGTGCTTGACCGACATATTCTTATCTTGCGCTTTTTAAAGGTTTGGATCATTTTGTGTGGCATGTGGACGTGCTGAAGCACTGTATCGTTCCTGACCTTTTGCGTCCAACTTATGCGCAACATGCGATGGTAACACCAGATTTCAGACGCCTTTATGCGTCTGATGGTGTCATCTTTTAAGGTCCATGCTTTGCAACCGTACATACGACAGGCCAGACGTAGCACAGTAGCATCCGAACCCGAGGCTTTAAGTTAAGTTGACGATAGCGAAGAACTTTGCTCATGTTGACAGAGGCTCGGCCAATTTCTATTCGGGATTTAATTTTTTGGTCTGATACCCATGCGTCATTACTTCTTCGAAGTGGATGTTCCATGTGTCTATCGCTTTAGTTGGTGTTCTAAGCCTTTCCGATCTCTTTTCGGATTCTATCATCAATCTGTTTGTACTTTTCTGGGTTCACATTCTTATGCAATCTTCCTTCTTCCATCAAAAGCAAAATGGAGTCAGTCATCCAATCCTGTTTCTTACTATTTGTGGTTTTGCAGATGCTTCTGGCATAATTCCTTTACACTATGCTTGAGACTGGTCCATACATTTAGTTAATAGATTTGGTGTAGTGATCTATAACCCATTGGATGGTGCCGTTGTGCACTTGTTTTTAATAAATTTTTTCCTTCTTTCTTTATTTCTTTCTTTCACTCTACTGTGTCGGGTTCGACAAATTTGCGTACATTTCGTTTTTTGTATAATGTTACAGATTAATTCCCCACGGATTCTTGGTCCGTGCTCTTGTCATACAATTTTTTATTACAATATGTCTAATCAATTTTTATAAAGTATAGAAGGTACTTAGTTATACACTATAATTAACCACATCTATAATTATTACTAAAAGTATAAATTACATATTAATTAGGTATTATCTATTTATATATCTATTTCGACGGCTCTACGAAATCAGCCCACCAACAAGATGGGAGAGCCGACCTGACTCAGCAGAAGGCACCCGTTCACGTGTATGACGTATGTGTCAGCAATTGGTCCGGTCAACCTTTTTATTGGGAACGGGACAACCCAACACACAGCGCTACCGACTGTAGGACATTTATGTGTGCATGACGCCTCAACCCTAACTACGTTGGCTGATTCCAATAAAGCTTACACTAGTCCAAAAGTCAATGGGTTATTTTCTATATGTACATATTTCTGCATACATATTTCATCATCACATGTTGCATTCGTTTTATCACAAGCTACATTGCGTCCAGTACATTTAGCTTTCTGTCTTTCCATTTTGGCTGTGTATTTTTCAACTTACATCTTATGTCTATTACTACATTGGTTAGTGGTACAAGGTTTGTGTTTTTTTTAACGAAGTTCCTGTATCGATTGTTAGGGGGCGTCCATAAATTATTCTTTTACAATAACATTGTAAAAAGAAAATAAAAATTGATCCGTGTTTTTACTTACGACTAGTTAAGACTAGTAATCAATATTGCTGAGAGTTATAAGTGTAAAAGTGTAATCTTGAGCATAGACAATCTGAAATAAATGGACTAAATTAGTATAATTTTATTTAGTTTCAATGAGAAAAAAAATTACGTGATATTTACCGAGACCCCCTCTCTCTCCAACGTAAGATAAGGTGAGATTTGAGTCTACCCCCTCCCCCCCTTAATCATCTTACGTAGTTTATGGACGCCCCCTTAATCGTGACGGTTGTGGTCAGCCGTATGCAATGGCGATGCCCATGTGAAAGCCGACGCGGTGGCTGCTTGAAGAGGGTGTTCGTTATTACAAGCTCATTGTTCTGACAAAATTCTATCAGCATATCACTTCTGTCATTACGGCTTCTCAGGCCATAAAAATACGTCACTCCAGGTACGACAGTCGAGCCTACCTTTGTGTTCATATCGCCCATAACGATGACTTCCTCATGACTCTTCGTGGCTTTTAGTTAGGTATCATTGTCATTGTAGAGTGTTCAATCAATCTCAATTTCGGTTACGGCTTTGCCTCCAGTAGGTGCTATATATCTGCATAATGTTAATACTGCATGGCTTGGATTCCAATCTGATCAACATCCCTTGGTGGGACAAGGGCACAAAATTTGTCACAGATCTAAAAATTTCTTTAGTAAGTAGAATTCCCCACACTATCGTTCTGATGCTTGATAGTTTCCGGAATAATATAGTACATGGTCGGATTTTATGTACTTTGATTGGCCGGGCCATTTAATATCACTGGTACCAAAGATAAGAGTCTACCTGCACAGGCGTCATTTCCTTAATCACATTGGGGATCTTCCTATCTTGTTTCATACTTCTCACATTCCAAGCCTTTCCCGCCCCGGGATTCTTAGCACTCCTGTCCCATTAAACTGACGCTGGTTAAAGTGGCTTTCATAGAGTTTTTTATAAAGTTAAAGTTTAAAAGACTACTGGGGAATAATAGTGTACTGGTGTTCTGCACCAGACCATTAAAAGGTTTATTTAGACCTTCAGGTTACTGAAACCTCTTCCATCCAGTTTCCTGGCTAGATGTGTAATAGTTATACCGTCACTGCTCGTTCGCCAGAACACCACACCAACGCAGGGCGCTAGCTCCGCCATTCGGTTCCAAAAGAACTGCTGGGGGCAGGAGAGGTTGACAATAGGGCCGGATAGATGTTATGTTCCGTTCTCTCTCCTCCACTGTGATCAATACCTACTTATTGATATTCTTTCTACAATAATAAAAACCGTACCTTCTTCCTATATGTATGGGTTCCGAGATTTGTAGTAGAACCAAATGCACATTGTTTTCACCACAGCAGAATACCACCACACATTTCATTGTCGTTACAATTATTTGTTGATGTTCCATGATTATAGTTACTATTGTGCATGGTATGTGTTGTCATTATTACGATACGATTAAATTTATGAATAATTATGTGTCTGGCAGTGTTGGGCAAATTGAAATCTAACTAACCACTGATTACTAACTAGGATTACTTTAAGTAGTCAGTAATCATGATTACAGATTAAGTTAATAATCGTAAAAAGTAGTTAAACATTTTGATTACTAACTAATAATTGTAGTTATAATAACGATTACGAGATTACTTTTCATAACTACACATTTAAAATAATATTGCGTTTATTAAAACAGTTAAAGCACGTCAGTTTGAATAATTAGCCCAATTGACATATTTTTATTTTTGGTTGATTCGCAAATTATTCAAAATGAGGTGAAGTTGTGAATTAAACTGAAGATTTTTCATGCAATTAGATCCCGAAACTTATATAATAACACATTACAATGTTTATTTAATTTCAAAATATTAAGAGTAAAAATACAAATAATAACTACTTCATGTAGTTAGATTACTTTAGTTAAGTTACAGACAGCGATACGTAGTTGTAATCATAACTACATGTAGTTAACTACTTATAATCGTAGTTATTAATCAGAATCACAAGATACTTAACTATGCCCAACACTGGGCGCTTACTCTTGAAACCAATCTCAATGTCAATGCAATTTCAATCCAATATGATCTCAATAATTATCCAATGTCAATACTATACAACCCCTATCGTAGCTGTTAAAGTAGCATTCGGAGTACAGAATATAAAGCCAAACTAAGTACCATTTAGTTCATTCAATATCCACGCAATTCGGATGCAATGGGCGCTAGAGTATGAAATTTCACAATACCAATGTCGATCGATCGGAATTGGATTCAAGAGTAAGCCTCCTGGTGGCTGGTAATGGGTAATAATAACAAATGCAATGTAAACATCCGAACAGTATTAATATACTGTAACGTTAAAGCTGAGCAGAAAAGTAATTAGATGGGTATCAACTTACAGCAGTCGCATATGCAGCAGCCGTCGATGCAACAGCAGCACATGCCGCAGCAGTCGGGCGTGTACAGTTTCGGTGGGGCTCCCGCCGGCGCGCCACAAGTTCAGTTCAACATTGGTGCCAATGGCACCAACACCGCCGTCAGACGCGTTCGTAAAGCTGTTCGTCGGAATCCACAACGATGAAATTTACTTCGGCTCTAGCACGAAATGGACTGGGTCCAGTAAGTGCCCTGTATAGTTAAATTGTGAGAAGATTATAAAATCATCCTAGACAGTGAATTAACTAAATTATAAGGTAGCCAGTAACATTATTGTAAATTGTATAAAAAATTGGCTGTAGTGACAATTGTGTTACTTTAAAATTATTTTAAGTTTAAAACTTTTCATTCTGTCTTAATCTTTCTCTTGACCATGACTCTAAAATGGGTCGGCACTGAGTCTAAAACCAGTTTTGACTAATTTTCAGTATTTATTCAGAACACTTACAGTTTCTTAGACTTTTGTATTTGACAATATTGATATCAAGGTGAGATTTTCATTGATTTAGTATTAGTTTGATAATACTTTCAGTAGCAAATAAACTTGAAACATTTTATCAAAAGCCAGAAAACACAACTATTATATAGTGTAACTAATGACTTCTTTTATAATAGATTTGCCGCCATGGTATTTCACGCTCCTGAAGAGATTACTAGAAACATGGTATACACATGGGTACCTAAAATCCTCTTATCTGATTCTGTTATTGTTAGACGCAACGAATGCGACGTGACCTGATAAAAATATACAAATTGACAATTACTAAAGAATCTAAAGCATCTTACTTTGATATATTGTTTATAATGCACAATGTGTATACATATGATCTTGAAATATCTTTTCTATAGTATGGACTGGAATTGTAAAATTTTCGTGGTGAACATATTTTTTACTTTTTTAATACTATTTTATTTTAAGTAGGTATGTATAATGCATAAGTCATTTGCTATTATATATTTTTACAATATCATAGCCTTTGTGAACTCTACATGAAAAGAGTTGTAGATATGGTATTACTTGTAGATTAATTAGAATAGTATGTTCATTGCTGGTTGATCGATATATACAGGTGTATGTTGTTTTAAACACAAAATATATAAAAATATCAAATATGTAGGGTATGTATCAAAATAATGTACCTAATACTTCGACACACAGAGGTTGCAGAAGTAATTCTTCAGACTATTAGACTTATATGTTAAGATGAGTGATGAAAATCAGATATATATATCCTTCACCACAATATTCACGACATCATAATAATAATAATGCTAAGGAATAGATAGAATATGACATAGCTTACAAATAAACATTACTTGCTGAGATGGTCACATAAATTCATAATAATTATACTATAGGTCATCCCCGTCTATGTTAAGAGAAACCAATTACTTTTGCTATTATTTATTACATTATAGCGGTTATAGAAACAATTTGATGCAAATTAATCCATGTGATGTTAATAGATGTTGAATTTTTTTCCAGTCAAGCCTAATTGTCATTACAACCATTTGTCAATTCAGTTTCAAGTTTGGTCCCAAACAATCCCAATTGCAGATAACTTTAATTAAATGTAAAAGACTTGTCAAACCAGTAATATAATAAAGTATATAAAATTATGTAAGGAAATTGGGGTGCTAAAAGATTTATATAAATGTAAAAGGATAATAATGTATTTATGATCACAGCCCACGTTTTAATTATTTCCTGAAAACAAGTAATGATTTGTAAGTTTGACGAATACACAATATTTTTTACCTTGCTTACAATTAACTTTACATAAAATAAATTTTTGTGTTAAAATGTATGACTTTTGATTTGATTGCTAATAAGGACATAAGTCAAAATATGCCTTTTTATAGCTGGACAAAAGTAATAATATAATCGTTCTTGATTATTATTGAGTTAAATCTTGCATATTCATTAGCTGATTTAATGAGCTAGATGAAAGTGCCTGAAATTTTAATGCCGTAGAAATGCATCTACTTGGCCACCATTTTACTTTCAATCTATTTAATATGAAATACAAAAAAAATATAATGATTTTAAATATAAAATTAATGAGTGTTATCACATGATATGATTATAATACTATAAACGTTAAAAACAAAAAAAAAAACATTAAACAAAAGTTGATTACTATGAATGTTGATTGTATAGGTTTGACAAAGTTACGTGCAATGTTGTGCATAATTGTGGAGATCCCTGAAACCCCAACAATTCTCAAATTCCTAATCCCCAAAAGTCCAGTAACGCACTTGTAAGTTGTAACGCCTCTGGTGTTCCAGGTGTCCATGGCCGACGCCGATTGCTTACCATCAGGTGATCCGTCTGCTCGTTCACCGGGTTATCTAAAGAACAGTGTGTGTTTGTACACATGAAAGTGAATTCTCAACAACATACATTTGTTTTGTTTTGTAAGTCTTAGCATGCAAGTTTTAAATTATTATTGTACATTTTACCGCATAGAAATTGTTTGAAAAATATGGTAGTAGTAGGTATCAGTTTTACAGAGAAACAACAAATCTGCTTTAGAATGTAACTGGAATAGAATTGTATAGAAATAATATAGACTTCAATAAATATTTCAAATGATATCTGGTATTTGTTAAACAACAGTTGTAAGGTCGATAGAATAACATGATACCAAGCACACTAACTGATTTACGTTATAATTAGCTTTATATAATTGTATAAGTATTTGCCTTTTTGAGAGTAACAGATGACCGTGTGTTGTTGTAAATATTGCACTTAGAGAAAAGACAGTAATCATTGATCAATATAATAGCTACCTGACGACAGGTTTGTTAGGATAGTTCATTCACAAAACTAGCATTCAATGCGCACTTTTTAAAAATATCAAATTACTAGCTATAAGTACCAATTACACAGGCTGTCACATTTCTCAAACAAGTAGTCATGTTACTAAACTATGAGGTTGTAGCAATAGAGTTCCTAATAACATTTGTCATCTTACCAGTGAATGAATCGAATCATTACTTGCACTTTATATTGGCTAAGCAACCTATAGACTCTCCAAATAAGCAATATTGTCTCTCATTGTACCAATAATGATACTTTCATACAGTACTTGATTATTGAATAAACAATAAACTTTTACTGGTATTATAGATTTTAGGTTAGTGACTAAGCTCTGAAAAATATATTAATTATTGTCAGATATTATTGTCATATACTTAGGGAAACGTAGGAACCATATTAACCTGGTAAGCTACTATTGTAATAAAATTATGATTTAATACATTCATTTCCGTAAAACATAAATATTTAGATGAGTAAATAATAGAATCGCTTTACTAAGTAAAATGTTTGGTATAAGTGAACTTCTACTACAATCTGTTGTATAAATCACATTTCCACATTATGGCAATAGCAATGATGTTTCCTTTAATACTTTTGACTTGATTCCTTGAAGGAGTAATATGAAAGCTGGTCTTTCTCATAAAAAAAATATATTAAAATTTTTGATTATACAGGGTGTTTCGAAGTTCGATTCAAAGCCTGATGGCTATGATATCTAGTCTTAAGGTCTTCAGGCTTCGCAACGACATTTCACACAGCATATACATAATATTTATTAACTATAGTACTTATACCACTATGAATACAATCAGCAAAAAGAAATAATGTATTTTTTACAAATAATGTATTTTTTGAGTTTCGGGTGAAATCTTACAAATTTTGATGACGATGTCTCAACCGATTGAGCTGATAGACATATTGTGTGGTTGACATTACTTGCTTACTTATGTGACGTCATTATAAAATCAATAGACTAATTTTTTTTTGTTAAATTCTATTACATAATGGTATTGACACTAACTGTGAGTGATATACAAAAATGTGTATTGGAGATTATGATGATGTAATTTCACCTAGGTTAGGTATCAGTAGCCGGTTACACGCAAACACTAGCACATCGAGTCAGTACCAATAGTGTCATAGCTGTAAGCGTACGACTGCGCGGTCCAGGTTGCTCATAGGTAGGCGTACTCCATCGTCGGCCACATCTAACAGGCGAGTTCGTGGGCAAACGCCATCCTATTAACTGACTTATAAAACTTCTTACGCAACCATACACGTTTAGTATCGCATTTGATTATGTACAAACTTTTTCTTAGGGGGCGTCCATAAATTACGTGAGTTGTTTTTTTTAATTTTTTGACTTTCCCTCCTCCCTGGTGAGATTTCGTGAAATTTATTCAACATCCTCCCCCATCCCCCAATCTCACGTGAATAGTAGTAAATAGAAGAAAAATCCATGTGCATGTACAATTAAATCTTAAGTATGTACAATCTGGATTAAATGAAATAAAATAGTATTTTTTTTTGTTTCAATCAGTAAAAAAATTACGCGATATTTGTCGAGACCCCCCTCTCTCGAACGTAAGATTAGATGAAATGACTAACATCTCACGTAATTTATGGACGCCCCCTAATAGGTGAAAATTTATTAAAATATTTTGTTATTGGGAATATATTTTTAAGTGCCAACTTCATTGTATTTTGTAAGCTCGTATAATATAAAGCCTCTACTTTAAGTTCGTTAAGTTTGCTGGTCTTTATGAAATGTAAGCCAAAATTTCGATGTGTTTGTTCTCATTTATTTTTTAATACAATACGTATAAATTAAGATAAGTTAACGTTTAATTTAATATTGTTTTAACTGTTCAAACCGCGATACTTGTCCGTAGTTTGAATTACGAACAGTGATTGGATCAAATTATCACAAACTATTGTATTATACATTTGATAAAATATGCAAACTGTTCTGCACCATTCCACATTAAATATTTTGGTGAATTCGTGGCAGTTGCAGCAAATAATCCTAAGGTATAAATGTCTAAAAGGATCCCCTTAATTTAGTTTATTTTATAATATGAAGTTTTAAGGTATTTTTAGCAAGAGTTTAAGTCGATAAACTGGTTTTAAAAAGTGAAATAATGTAGTAACGTTCGATTCTTTGCTTCGGATTTTGTTGGTTGACTGTAAATATAGTTAAATATAATTATGTCAACATGTTGTGTAGTCGCATTTGGAAGTCTTGTATTCTTATTTTTGTAGCACTAAAATAAAAAAAAAATCGACGTGTCCAAATGCCAACTACACACAGTCATTTAGTGTAAAGTATAACTAAAGTGTACTGTAAACAACACTATCAGTGGAAAATTAAATAAATGTTAATGGAAGATTGGGGAGCAAAACTAACTGTATACTAGACGGTGTTCTGAATAAGAGTAAAAATGTTGATAATTGATTGAAAAAAAATTGTTGATAATATATTAAATGCCTTTAGATTTGTTCCTCAATGAAAATGGCCATTAAAAAAATAAAGTACAATTTTTATTTCTGCTACAACATTAACAATGTCTAAAAATAATGGTGTCCCTACCAGAGCATACAGGGAACAATATAAAACAACGATGCGATCATACGCATTTTCAAAAACTAATAAAAGCCCGCCATGTAATCTATATACCTATATAAAAATGAAACCCGTTTCCCGTTGTCACGCCATAACTTGAGAATGGCTAGACCAATCGTCAAGAGAAGGATCTTATGACAGAAAAAGGTCCTGAAAATCCTACGGGAACGGGAAAAACGGGATTGCGTGTACGAAGTCGCGGACAGAAGCTAGTGTTGAATAAAGATTAAGCTTGTCTTGAAACTAGGGAAATCGTTATATAAAAGTAACACACATACCATAGTGTGGTTAGAATGTGTTCATCGGCGGTATTATGACGGCTCCTATTGTCCTTTCTATTTTGCTTAGGAACACGTGCTTGTGTCCATGCCCTGCAATAGTTCGGTGAGTATATAACTTGTATCGACCTACACCTGGCCACACAATCACTTTTTTATAGCCTGGAGGCCTATCGTAAGAACTATTAAAACCAAATTTGTATTGTTCAAAAGTAGTCGGTGGCGTGGGCATATAGCGCGTGGGTCCAGGGTCCTGTGCGCGACGCGGACACATCGCCAAGTCGACCAGGGTGTTTCGACCTCTGTGGGGCTTACTTCTGCTGGTCTTATTCAGCTCGCCAAAATGTGACTTCTTATATTTCTCTAAACTGCCCTTTAGGGCGATTGGCCAAGTGGCTGCAGAACATTTGAGAGAAGTGTTAAAATGATTTTTAATCGTACTTTCGTCTCGTTTACCAGTAAATAAATCGTAGGGACCTCGAATTGATATGACCTTCTTTGATTTTTGATCGATACAATCTTTATCTATGATCGTATAGCGGTTCGGGGCATGAGACCATTTAGGTGAAGTGTCCTTAAACCTGCAAGGTTCTTCTCTTTCGAATGTCGGTCGTTTGGAATGCGGTCCATATGGAGCTTTAAATGGAACCGATTTGTAGTAGGTCCCAGGATCGGGAACGGTTTGTTTCGTCGGTTTAAATCGCACAGTCCTTCCAAAGCCAACGTTCATACAGACTGGTTCATATTTAGGGAGCTCTGTAACTTCGTGCCAGGCAGGCCCTAATAACGATCGGTTCCATCGTCGCTGTTCTAAGACTTTTTGGTTTCTGTAACCTAAGTTTTTCGCCCATTCTTCTAATTCGTTCTTGTATCTCCACGGATCTTTATCAATTTTTTGTTTGTGAATAGCTTCGCAGAATAGATATATGGGAATTGGATGGTAGAGGCAGGGATCACATCCATCGGGTCTTGTTGCGTACAGGCCGCTGGGGTCTAAATTCGGATGGGCAGTTACTCGACCAAACCTTTTACTCGTAGAGTTGAAACCTATGTTCTTTTTTTTTGTGGTTACCACCATTTTACTAAAATATGTTAAATGATGGTTAGATAAATTGGTTTTCCTACAAGAATACGATTATAAAATTAAAAGTAGATATTAAGAAAACTGTTTAAAATTTTTATGATCTTTAAAATGTCTAACATTTAAATGACTTGTGATTGTTTATGCAGGTTTCTATTGTGACATGTTGTCATAATGACGGTTTTCATACATAGGTACGTTCAAGGTGCGTCCTTGATAGCTACCTCATTCCTCATAGACCTATTCGATTTTTATCCAATCCACCAGAATTTTTTTCCCAATACAGAGTTCTGTCTCGCGACAATATAGCTACTTGCATAGATCTTGATCTTGATCTCCGGCATGGGCCTTCGGACGGCGAGCACGGTGACGTCGGACGGTGACTCGCCGCCGCCCAGAACCAGACCCGAGCGTAAGGCTCATCGTGATCCACGCGCGCTTCCAAGACCTATTGATCACCACAGATGGGGCCCAATACGGCTGATGACGATACTGAGCCGCGGAGGACTTAACGGGTAGCCGGGGCTCGGGCTCGTACTCGGGAAGTAGGAACAGTTGGTTTTTTAGTCAGTAAAGTCTGACACTCATAAATTAGGTAGTGAGATTTATTTTGTAATCTGGCTTTTTACACCAATTTTACACAAATTTTTATTTGTTATTTCTTTATTTACTCCCTCTCGTCTCACCCGGGCGGTAGAAGTCAAAAGGTAGCAACAAAGTAGAAGTAATATTGTGTATGTTGTTGCACATACGCACTTAGATACTGATGTCGAATAAACAAGTACCTACAGCTAAGGACGTTCAAAATATAGGTACCAAATCGATAAGTATTTATTTATTAATCACATTCTTATTTTCAGGACGTTTGATAGATGGGTGCAGAGCATGTGGGCCTGGATATCTGCCTTGCACCATATACATATCTAGAACATTTTCTTTATTTATTATTCAAACAAAACAATGCAGAATTATTCATCAATACATATCTATATCTATTGTCTATACATAAAACAAAATTTCAGAAGTGTAAATTATGTACCTACATAAACCGTTGCGAGCGCACGGAACGGGACGCTCCATATGCACGGGTTTGGTTATGGTCGGGCGGCAATCTACTGCGAGTGCTCGCCGTCCGCAGACTTAGGGTGGCCGGAGATCGTCAAGCAATCTCCGATTTTCCGACGCCCGGAGTGTGTACTGCGACGGCTAGGGCGTGAAGAGGATTGCTCCCTCACGACCTCCTACTATGCTACATGGATTAGGTGTTGCTTTCGAGGAGGGATAATCTAGGAATTACTCCGCCCGTGAGAGGGTCAGAGGAGTCAGCCAACTTGGAGATTCTGGATGTGGCAACAGGAAGTGTCAAACTTTTAAGTACTGACTAAAAACCACCCTGTGTTTGCAGGGTAGCAGGGTAGCAGGATTGCGGTTCAATATCAGCAAGAAAGGCGTGATTGACAATAACACCATTGAATACTTACATAATATTTCTCTCTCCTATATAACCGTATTTTCCGTGAACTAACTTCGTCGTGTAAAGTTTTCATCGCGGCATTGTTTGTTGCTACATCTACGATCAAAGTGACAAAACAATGTTGTAACATTGTCAAAGTTCCTACGCGGTACGTAGAGTTTGATTTTGAGTTATAACATGAGAATAGATGTAGGTGCTAAATATTTGCTCTTGTTTTTCTTATTATGGTAAAAGAAACTAATTCTATGATGTATTTTCTTTGGATTTGTTTGTTACAGGTAACATAACACTATTGAAACGGTAAAAACATTTTAGCATACCTACTCGCGGGTACCTATTTTAGGAGTTAAATAAAGGTGAACACATTTATTTATTATGTTTTCGGCTTAGGTACTCACGTTATCGGTAAAATGGGGTGAATAGCGATCGAGGGGTGAATAGAGACAGAAGAGGGGTGAACTCAATTACACTCCTCTTTTGTCTCTATTCACCTCTCGATTCCTATTCACCCCATTTTACGGTACTGTTTGACGAGGAACTTGACTAGTAGACTCAGTAGCAGCGCGACAGTCACCGCGAGCCTCTAGTGGCTTGAAATTAGTCGTAAGTAAGTAATTAGTATGTCTCATAAAAGTTTTAACGTGAACACATTTGGAACCCTGCCAGCGAATTTGAAATCTGTACCTTTGAAACTGCAATCTTGAACTCGTCTGCCTAGCATAGAGTTACGAAGAGGAGGCCTGCTAGGGCAATAGTGAACTATCAGGTTGTTATAGTGATAATTAGTGACCAATGACCATAGATATAATAAATTAATATTTCTGTGTTAGTGACTCTAAGAAAGTTAAAACATCTTCTTACTTTTATACAATTTAATCTATACAATGTTTAACCTAGATAATAGATTTAATTGACTGCCTCATTGTCCAAGTAGGTCGTAAGTGCGACTGCCGGGGCAGGGGTCGTGGTCGTGCGAAGTATTATTGAGTTTAAAATAATCTCAACAGTAGCATGGAGTCTAGAATTGTGCCCGGTATATGGCAATAGGCTCACCCCCTATTACATGGGATTCATAACATGTGTGGGTGTTACATTGTACAGTGGCATTAAGTGCCGAAATGTGCACCTTTGCCTACCCCTTCGGAAATAAATGGTGTAATGCTATGAATTATGATGAATATAATGAACCTATTACTTCCGAATGCACAGACCTTGGTATTGGCCGTGGTTGTGCAGCTGCACGCGTAAATAAACAGAAGGTACCGATGTCAATCAAACAACACGTCCTCATTACGCTCCCCCTTCTCCTCTATATTTATTTATTATTTTATGTACACAACTTGATTACATAAATGTAGGTACATAATTTAGCACATATGGCGAACTTAAACCTTAAGTTTAAGTAGAAAATCTGCAAAATATAAGGTAGATACGGAAGATAAATTAAGAGCAAAAGGTAAAAATATGATATAAGTTATGCTATACATATATATATTACATAATAGCAAATATATTACTTACTTAGTAAGTAAAACAAGCAACATCCCTCAGAATGTGATTTAAATATTAATTCGTTATTATTATTGGTACCTACTGTAAACGTAATCTGTTTCGAAATTTTAATATTTTTTCAGTAATTGTTGTATCTTTAAGTAAGTAAGTTGCTGTCCATTCTACTCTGGGCTTTATTGTTTTATTGTGAAAAGAATGTACCTATGTTTACTTAGTTACTGAAAACTTAATAGAATCATAACATAACATCACGCCTTTTTATCCCCGAAGCCTACCCGGCAGAGGTGCACATTTCGGCACTTAATGCCACTGTACAATGTAACACCCACTTTTCACTTTTTATGTTATGAGTCCCATGTAATAAGGGGTGAGCCTATTGCCATATATCGGGCACATTTCCAGACTCTGCTACTAACGAGATTTTTAAAAACCCAGTAATACTTTGCCCGACCCGGGAATCGAACCCGAGACCCCTTGCCCGGCAGTCGCACTTGTGACCAGTCGGCCAACGAGGCAGTCAGATTAATAGAATCCATCCCACTAATATAAGTTCGGGTGTAAAATTATAGGTAATACGGTAGTT